GCACAAGGTAAAATATATTTAAAAATATTTATGGAAATGAAACTCTCAGGGAAGCATCATAAAATGCTATAATGCTATTTTTTATTTGACATCACAGATTGTGCAATAAAATGGTTAAAGATTTTAAAGGGCAAATGGCTGCCGATTTTATGTGCAGACTTTAGATGAGAATTTTATGTACAGATCGAAAAAAATGCAGATTTAATAGAAAGTTTTTCAATAGAAAGCACAACTCACAGTTGATATGAACCGCAAACCTATCAATGACAACTGACATGGAATTAGTTTCTGATCTGGGGGTCACTGAGGGGTAATTTATGGGGGGTCACCAAGGGGCTTCTTACAACACGTGGCAAGATCTTGCATATAGAATTAAGTTTTTACTTCCTCTGATACTGTACTTGAAATTTTCAAATTAAATTTTGCCATCAGAATAACAGTTTAAAAAAGGATTAGGCAGCCAATTACATAAATTACATCTTCATAGAGAACATATTTATATAAATCCCATATTTATAGAGTAGACACATTTATATAAATCTCATCTTTATAGAGAGGTCTTATTTATATAAATTACATCTATATAGAGAACACATTTATTTGAATTACATATTTATAGAGTAAACACATTTATAACAATTACATCTTTATAGAGTAGACACATTTATATAAATTACATCTTTATAGAGGACATATTTATATAAATTACATCTTTATAGAGAATATTTATATAAATCACATTTATAGCTTAGACACATTTATATAAATTACATCTTTATAGCTAAGACATATTTATATAAATTTCATCTTTATAGTGAAGACACATTTATATAAATCACATCTTTATAGTAAAGACACATTTATATAAATCTCATCTTTATAGATAAGACACATTTATATAAATCTCATCTTTATAGAGAGGTCATATTTATATAAATTACATCTTTATAGAGTAGACACATTTATTTGAATTACATATTTATAGAGTTAACACATTTATATAAATTACATCTTTATAGTAAAGACAAATTTATATAAATCTCATCTTTATAGATAAGACACATTTATATAAATCTCATCTTTATAGGGAATACACATTTATATAAATTACATCTTTATAATAAAGACACATTTATATAAATCTCATCTTTATAGATAAGACACATTTATATAAATTACATCTTTATAGTAAAGACACATTTATATAAATCTCATCTTTATAGATAAGACACATTTATATAAATCTCATCTTTATAGGGAATACACATTTATATAAATTACATCTTTATAATAAAGACACATTTATATAAATCTCATCTTTATAGATAAGACACATTTATATAAATTACATCTTTATAGTAAAGACACATTTATATAAATCTCATCTTTATAGGGAAGACACATTTATATAAATTACATCTTTATAGTAAAGACACATTTATATAAATCTCATCTTTATAGATAAGACACATTTATATAAATCTCATCTTTATAGAGAGGTCATATTTATATAAATTACATCTTTATAGAGTAGACACATTTATTTGAATTACATATTTATAGAGTTAACACATTTATATAAATTACATCTTTATAGTAAAGACAAATTTATATAAATCTCATCTTTATAGATAAGACACATTTATATAAATCTCATCTTTATAGGGAGGACATATTTATATAAATTATATCTTTATAGTGAAGGGACACATTTATATAAATTACATCTTTATAGTGAAGACACATTTATATAAATCTCATCTTTATAGATAAGACACATTTATATAAATCTCATCTTTATAGGGAATACACATTTATATAAATTACATCTTTATAATAAAGAGAGGACATATTTATATAAATTACATCTTTATAGTGAAGGGACACATTAATATAAATCTCATCTTTATAGAGAGGACATATTTATATAAATTATATCTTTATAGTGAAGGGACACATTTATATAAATTACATCTTTAAAGAGAGGACATATTTATATAAATTACATCTTTATAGAGAGGACATATTTATATAAATTACATCTTTATAGAGAGGACATATTTATATAAATCTCATCTTTATAGTGAAGGGACACATTTATATAAAGTTCATTTTCCTTGAGAAGACACTCTACATAAAAGACACCTCCTTGTTGACAGCAATAGTTTATATAGAATAATTGCCTTCCTTTCTGCTCACACTAAATCAGATACAGCCATTTTATCTTTCAAATGTTTAGCCATTTCTTATTCCAGGTCCAAATGACAAAACATCTTTATCAATGGATAGGGGGATAATGAAAAATAATGAAATGCCAACAACAACAAATATATATATATATTTACTCTGATACAAGTTATGAGTACTTTATCAAATGATGCACAAATATGTGCAAAAACTCAGGAATATTTACATAAGGCCTAACAAAGAAGATTTTTCTGTTCCATACCATTTGTAAACAAACTAGGTTTAGTTTGATGTGTATAGCTCTGTTTATTTGAATTAATTATTATTACATGTAAAAGAAATAGCTCTGATCCTTCAATGTCCTTTATATATTGTTACTATATTTCTGTTAAGGGATTAAAAAATCTACAAAAGACAAGAGGCCCAAAAGGGGTCTGAAACGCTCACCTGTGGCCTCCTTTCCACAAACTTCCTAGCACATCATTACCTTACTGGCAGATACATGTTTCATGACTCAAGGCATTTCTGTTCTTCAGTAGAAGATGTTTGACACAAGTGACCTTTATTACCTTAAATTCGAGACAAACTTCAGCAAGCATCTAAAGTCAAATGTCTTCATTTTTTTTGTTTGAAACCTTGAAGCATATCATGCAAGCAAGATTCTGATTAAGTACCATGAGCCTATTAGTTCACCAGAACGCTTGAGTAAAAAACATTGACCCAAAGCTGTGATCTTTAGCATAAGTCAAGGTCATTTATGTTTGCAAACTATGTAACACTTCATGTCAGCAAGCTATATTTCATGGCTCTAGACAATTAGGTTCTTCAGAAGAAGTTGATTTTAGTGTTTAACAATTCAGTGACCTTGGGGAGTCTAAGCACTCCATGCCAGTAAATCACTCGGCATAAATCGCAAATCGACTGTAGAAGTCATCTGAGTATTTGAACAAATTTGACCCCTGTGACCTTTAATTTCATATGGATCAAGTGCACTTCTTTCTTCAAACTTTGTAGCATTTCATGCCAGCAAAGGTACTGGCAAAAAAAGATGACTCTAGGCTGGTTGGTTCTTCAGGTGAAGATGTTTGAACATTTTAACATTCAAATATCTGTTATCTGAATCCTATAGGATTAATTGTAATTGGCCTAGTAGTTCTTGAATAGAAGTTGTTTGAAGAAGAAGTTAACAGTCAGACACAGATGACAGATGATATACGACGCATTAAAGAAGGTAACATGTTACTGAAGCCAATTGTCCAGGCCAGGTGAGCTAAAAATAAGATTTGAATAAATTACTCATCATTTCTGAGAATTAATATAGACCTTGTCATATTACAGACACACTAAGACAGTGAATTATACATTCTCTGAATTTCAATTTTGTTCGTGTGTTAATTCACAAAGTATAAAAACCAATGACAAAAAGAACAATGCCAGTTGATGTCTTACAAACTGTTTGAAGTTTGAAATAAAAGCTTTGCAAAATATATTTTTAAGTGTTTCCTGTGCAACAGGAAAAAAAACCGAAAAAAATTCCCAACCATACTTAAAATTAAATATTCTATTTTTAAAATCAGGACAGGAATAACACGTTATTTTTACAGTTAATTCTAAAACACAACAAGAAAACAACCAATACTTTTCTAAGTACCCATTGGCTAATCTGGTCACATGACCCAACAACATGTGACATGCTGCCTCACATTTTATTGTGTGTACAGAATGGTACAATATTTTTTGAGAGAAAACAGATTTTTTAATATTTGGCCTAAGGCAATATAACAATCGTAAACAACAATATCAACAAAACAAATAACACTGTACACTAACACTGGTTACATCACGTCTATTACAGCTCCACCATAACTCTATACTGACCGACGGTAACGTCACTGACCGACCATAATGTCACCAGCCAACCATAACGTCACTGGCCAACCATAACGCTATACTGACCGAAGGTAACGTCACCGACCGACCATAATGTCACCAGCCAACCATAATGTCACCGGCCAACCATAACGCCTTCGACCGACCATAACGCTTTACTGACCGACCATAACGCCACAGACCTACCATAACGTCACTGACTGACAATCATACAAAACATTTTTAATTAATTCAAAGATTATACATTCTCTTACATTTTTAGTGATTTCTTTTTTCATGATTCAATATTGAAAAGGTGTAATTAAATTATGGATTCAAATTTTATTCATACACCAAAAAAAAAAATGCCCCGCTTAAAAGGACCGGATATTTGTTCCACATGCCCGTCTCATATTAAGAATTAAAAAAAAAGTTTTATAATGAAAGTTTGACAAAAAATTTAAAATTCAAATTACTTGTCAAAATTAACTTGTGAAGTAATGAATGAGTTAGTCGTTATGTCGGACTAGTCTGGTCAGCTGTGACAGGAAATCTGACAATCTTATAACGATATTTGCAAGTCCAGACAATTCCTGGATCAACGAAATTGGGTTACCATAGTAACGATTAAAACATCACTGTTTATTTAAAATAATTTGGTATTCAGGTACAACACAACACCTGTTGACATCAACCAATAATAAACCAACAACTGGTTAATATTCAAATTGCAATCTGATTTAAACCATTTAAACCAAAATTTAATCTCTACGAAAAAAGTTTTATTGCCAAAAGGTTTGTTATGTAATAATTAATTTGTCTGAAACTTGTATTAAGGACAATATTAAATTTTAAAATGAGTATTCTGTAAGAAACATTTTCTTTTTGTAAATTTTTTGAAAATTAAAATGACATTTTCAAATTTACATTTTTTTTATTTTTTTCCCCTAAAGTTTTGGAGGTGAATTCATTTTTGCTAAAAGATGCCTGTGTAGCAAAATTGTTTGTTTTTAGAATTTTAATGCTCTGCTTCAAACCTCTTAATAGCTTCCAGACCAGAAGTCTCCATTTTGTTTTAGTGTAGACAAGTTCTTTAAAGTGTCCTTTTGGCCATTTTACAGACAAATAATTTTCTTGGGATGTTGTAACAAATTATCTAACTTAACTCATTCACCCCTGAAGACACATTTGAACTCTTCCAATTTAAAGGTTGGAATAGTTCAATATGAAATTTTAGGGGTGAATGAGTTAAGTATCACTGTACTAAGTAGAAGATTATAACACAAACATCCTCAAGGTGGGATGCTACCTTGTACAATATACATTTGAGTTAGAGTTACCTCCCTTCAATGTAACTAGCGGGGGTTATTGTTTATTCTAAATAAACAGGTAAAAAGAATCCCACAATAGCTTGTTTTCTCCATCACATGGCACAGCTTCGTGGAGTTCTGTTTTACTTGTCGTAATCCTTGCAGTCATTGGATCAGACATATCCCGTCCATTTTTGTTGGTTAACGACAAATGTGTTCCCCATCAGTTCTGCCATGACAAATAGGTCAACCATTTTATGGTCTAGCTAGATGCATCCAAAATGAATCTGTGTCTCTTCAGTTCATTGGTTCGTCAAAACTGTCCAATGAAAAGTGAGAAGCCTGTAGATTTGGCGACTGACTTGCGGAACGATCTGAATGGGTTTCTTCCGAGCGGTCTATCCCCACCCCTAGGGCTGATGACTTGAGTGGCACAGGCCAGCCACCAGAGTACACTCCCTTCGGGGCAGGATCTCGCCTCGACATCAGGTAAGGACTAGAACTATGTAGTTGTCTCTGTAGTTGATCAGATTTCTGTTGGCGTGAAAATGCTGCCATATCAAAATTATTTCTTGACAGTGGAAGAATATGATCATGTGACGATTTCATCATCATGTTCATATGTATTGGGGGTCGAACAATGGCAGACCCTGTGGCAAGAGATTTCGATAATGCGAACACATTCATGTCTATTCCCCTGGCCGTTTGCTGATGCATTCTATCGTAACGAATCGAATGATTATCGTGATTGTCTTCATCAATATTCCGCGCATCCCATTGGTTGTAACTGGTAATCCTGTCTTCTGATTGGTGGTGACAGTTTGAAATCTTGCTTTCAGACTGACCGAATGGGGAGTTTCTGCCCTCTGATTGGCTGGCTTCTATGATCTTGCCAGCTGATTGGCTGTGATTTAACATCTTGCCTTCAGGCTGACAATTTGAGGACATCTTGTTATCTGACTGACTAAAGTTAGGCATTTTATCTGACTGACTAAAGTTAGGCATTTTATCTGACTGACTAAAGTTTGGCATCTTGTCCGACTGACTTAAGTTAGGCATTTTCATATCTGTCCGGTCAAAACCTGGCAAGTTCAGCCTAGATAGTGGAATGCTTTTATGAATGCCATTTTGAGATTCACCAAAACAGTTAGGTGTGGAGGAATCCTGAGGGAGCTCCCTAGGGAACCTTTCCTGGTACCGGTCTATCTCCTCCTTTTGTTCGGCTGAGTTTTCCTCCTCAGGGGTGAGGGGCGTGGAGATGGGGACCATGGTTGGAGGCATGTACAGATGTTGGGGCCTCGAGGCTTTCCTCTTCCTTGGCTTCACGCCCTGCCCCGCCAGGTTCTGCTGTGTCGGCGAAGTCGGGCTGCTCTGGGGGAGGGGGGAGGGAGACTCAGGGGCTCCAGGGTGATCCTGTTGCTGCTGTAACTGCTGCTGCTGGGTCAAGTCAAGGGGCTTGGAATGCAAGTGTGTCTGTCAACAAGGAAGTTGAGATTTAGTAACATGGGTTCGCTATCAACAAGAAAGGTAAATAATACAGTAGATTTAGCAGCAACTTTAAACTAAGATGCAAGATGGGGAGAAAGTCAGACAAAGCTGAGGTTCAGGCCCTGGGAGGATAAAGTAAAACAAGGCGTTGAGTGGTTTGGGTCAAACAGAATCTAGAATGGATAGAATGGAAGGGGAAGTCAGGACTTAGAGAGGAATGGGACATCCATGACCTAGGAAGTAACAGGTAGTCAGGACCTAGGTAGTAGCGGGTAGTCAGGACCTAGGATGTAGGGGGACAGTCAGGACCTATGATGTAGGGGTTGTCAGGCCCTAGGGAGTAGCGGGTAGTCAGGACCTAGGTAGTAGCGGGCAGTCAGGACCTAGAATGTAGGGGGACAGTCAGGACCTAGGGGGTAGCGGGTAGTCAGGACCTAGGTAGTAGCGGGGAGTCAGGACCTAGAATGTAGGGGGACAGTCAGGACCTAGGATGGAGGGGGACAGTCAGGACCTAGGATGTAGGTGGACAGTCAGGACCTAGGATGTAGGGGTTGTCAGGCCCTAGGATGTGGGGGGGCAGTCAGGGCCTAGGATGTAGGGGGGTAGTCAGGACCTAGGGAGTAGCGGGGAGTCAGGACCTAGGTAGTAGCGGGTAGTCAGGACCTAGGTAGTAGCGGGTAGTCAGGATCTAGGTAGTAGCGGGTAGTCAGGACCTAGGGAGTAGCGGGGAGTCAGGACCTAGGATGTAGGGGGACAGTCAGGACCTATGATGTAGGGGTTGTCAGGCCCTAGGGAGTAGCGGGTAGTCAGGACCTAGGTAGGAGCGGGTAGTCAGGACCTAGAATGTAGGGACAGTCAGAACCTAGGATGTAGGGGGACAGTCAGGCCCTAGGATGTAGGGGGACAGTCAGGACCTATGATGTAGGGGTTGTCAGGACCTAGGGAGTAGCGGGTAGTACGGACCTAGGTAGTAGCGGGGAGTCAGGACCTAGAATGTAGGGGGGCAGTCAGGGCCTAGGATGTAGGGGGGTAGTCAGGACCTAGGGAGTAGCGGGGAGTCAGGACCTAGGATGTAGGGGGACAGTCAGGACCTAGGGAGTAGGGACAGTCAGGACCTAGGATGTAGGGTACAGTCAGGACCTAGGATGTAGGGACAGTCAGAACCTAGGATGTAGGGGGTAGTCAGAATGTAGGGGGTAGTCAGGACCTAGGATGTAGGGGGACAGTCAGGACCTAGGATGTAGGGGATAGTCAGGACCTAGGATAGAAGGGGTAGTCAGGACCTAGGATGTAGGGGGTAGTCAGGACCTAGGATGTAAGGGGGTAGTCAGGACCTAGGATGTAGGGGGTAGTCAGGAACTAGGATGAGTTAGTCAGAGCCCTAGAGATAGGACAAGTTACCAGGTTGGGACTTTAAACCAGGCCCAACAAACATAAGGGATATGTTAGGTAGAATGTTTGATTAGAGTCAGGTAAAGACTTCCTGTAATCAGGAGTTTTATATATGGTGTCAGATGGGGATGAAAGGGGGTCAGTCAAGTCTTAGGGCACAGGGGTGGGTGGGTTTAGGATTGTATGCTTCTTGTTGATCCAGGAGGCTTATATAACATATAAGGAGAGGACTGACAACTCCATCTCTCTAGATCTGCAACCTGTTCCCACCCCCTAGACCTGCACCCTGTCCCCACCCCAAGTTCTACACCCTGTCCCCACCCCAAGTTCTACACCCTGTCCCCACCACCAGACCTGCAACCTTTCTCCACCCCCAGACCTGCCACCTTTCTCCACCCCCAGACCTGCAACCTTTCTCCATCCCCAGACCTGCAACCTTTCTCCACCCCCAGACCTGCAACCTTTCCCCAGCCCCAGACCTGCAACCTTTCTCCACCCCCAGACCTGCAACCTTTCTCCACCCCCAGACCTGCAACCTTTCCCCAGCCCCAGACCTGCAACCTTTCTCCACCCCCAGACCTGCAACCTTTC